GGGTGAGCCCAGGCAACCAAAAAAAAAACCGTTAAAAAAAAAAAAAAAAAAAAAAAAAAACCTTGTCAAACTGGGACTGGGGAGACAGTCTTTGGACATTAGTCTGCCACTGCCACCTTTCCCCTGGTTGCTGGCTGCCTGTGTAAGTTACCTTGCCTTCCCACCAAAACTTGTAGTGGTTGTATTAGCTTTCGAGTGGCAAGCAGCAGAATTTGGGTTCTGTATTGGTTTCAGCTAGGTATTGGTTTCAGTTTTGTTCTGAAATTTGCCTTACCGACTAGTGACTGGTTGTCCTCCCAAAATTCACGTGTTGGAAATTGATTGCATTGATTGTACTGCAAAGGTATTATGTGAAAACTTAATTCTTTCATGTGCCCCTGGGTCAAACTTTTGGGTGTGACAATGTCAGGGCAGGGCTTCTATGAGCTCTGACAGGTATGTAAGCAAAAGGGATGAGATAAGAACAGGGAGAGAGCCACACGGATATAGACCATGCTCTGCGGTGTTAAAGGTTTGCCTTCCGCTATTCTGTGAAATGCTTGGACTTTCCAGCCACCAGATCTGAATCGTTAAACTCATATCTATAATGCACCCAGTCTCAGGTTTCTCTTAGTGATGCATTCACAGAGTAAGACAAACCCCAGACTCTCGCGTGGTCTGCAAGGCCTCACGATTCACTCTTTCTTCCCACCTTCATCTCTATTGCTCTCTTTTCCTATAACCACACTCTTGACAGTCCTTCTGCTCCAAGCCTGTCCCTGTCTTAGGTCTTTGCCCTTGCCTCTGGATGCTGTGATCCTTCTCACCATTCAGATTTCAGGTTTTTTTGAGAGGTTTTTGCTATAGGGCGTGTGCACTCGCCAGAAAGACAGAGAGACAGACAGAGACAGAAAGTGAGAAATCACCAGCCAGGGAGGATGGCCACACCGCAATCCCTTCTCCTTCATTGTCCTCTCAGGATCTTGGGCATGCATGCACACGCACCTGGTGAGAGTTTAAACCGCCAGGTCTGGGACTCAAATCGCAGTCGGCTACATGGAGTCCAGTGACATAGCCATTACGTCAACTGCTGGTCCCCAGATTTCAGCTTTAACCCTACTCAGAGAACTCTTTTCTAATCACTCATCACAAAACAGACCTCAGCCACAGTCCTATTTTAGTCCTTTGCATAATGTTAATTATTATTTTTTAAAAAAACTTAAAACTTATTCTCTATCACCCTCTGCTGGAATGCAGACTCCATGACTGCTGGGACTTTGTAAATCCTGACACCGTTGAATCAAGAGATGTCCCGGCACATCACAGATAGTCAATAGATGAATTCAAGAGATACAGAGGTTGGAGATACAGATCTGAGAGGAGAGAAAAATTCACCAAGAAATAATGCAGGCTGGTCAGTGGTGCAGTGGTTAATATGGCTGAATCCCACATGTCCAACTGCAGTTCAAGTCTGAGACCTGGCGGCTTGAAAAACGTACCAGGCATGTGTGTGTGCACACTCAAAATCTTGAGAGAACGGAAAAGGGACTGCAACACGGCCACCCCCATGGGGAAAGCTTTCTCACTTTTCCTCCCTCTTTCTCCAGTAAGCACAGGTGCCCTATAGCAAACTAAAACCAACCAACAAAGTGTCCCAGAACCAAGAGGTTATGTTTCTAAATGAAAGGGTCCACAGTTAATCGGCACAATGGGGAAAGAAATCTCATACATGGGCACATCAAGAAACCCAAAAGTAGGGACCAGCAGTTAGCATAATGGCTATGTCGCTGGACTTCCACGTAGTCAACCGCGGTTCGCGTGCTGGACCCGGTTAAAACTCATGCCGGGCACGTGTGTGTGTGTGCCCAAGATCCCGAGAGGAGAATGGAGGAGAAAGGATTGTGGCATGGCCATCCCCCCTGGGGGGGTGATTTCTCGCTTTCTGTCTCTGTCTGTCTGGCGAGCGCACGCGCCCTATAGCAAAAACCTCTCCAAAAAAAAAATAAAAGAAACCCATAAGTAAAGATACAGGACTAAGATCCCAAACCTTCCAGCAGAAAGAAAAACAAATATGGGCCATATACAAAGGATTGGAAAGCAGGGTGCCCCATAAGCTACAGCAGCCATGGAAGCTAGAAGGCAGTGGAGCAGTGCCTTTGAAATTCTGAAGAAAAATTATTTCTAGCAAAGAATCTCATACTTGGTGAACCTACTTAGTGTGAAAGTGGGATAAAATAATTTCCAGGTATTCAAGATTTAAAATGTTCAATTTCTATGTAATTTCTCAGGACACAACTTGTTTAACCAGATGAAGTAAATTAACATAGGATAAAGAACCACCCAGGATCCCCAGTATGATGGAGAGAGGAAATCCAGAAGCTGTGTCCAGGTGGGGGCCACTAGTCCATATTCAAGGTCAAGAGGCTTTTCAAGAGATGCAGCAAGACAAAATTAGTAAGAGCACCTAATGTCTGAACATCTTATTTCTGACAGCTGGTGAAGTATGGGGCTCATTAAGTACTGAGAATGTAGAAAATGGCAGGTGGTGTGGTGGTTAAGGGCTCTGGACTCCCACATGGTTGACCACGGGTTGAGTCCCAGACCTGGTGGCTAGCTTTCTTACTTTCTCTCTCTGTGCCTCTCTGGTCAAATAAAATAAATAAATAAATAGATAAATAATTCTTAAAAACCAGTGAATGTAGAGAATAGAGCAAAGGGGGAAAGAGGAAGACAAACTTGTGGAGGAACAGTAATGTGTTCGAAGGCAAGACTGACTCTATAGCTTATCTTCCCTTTGGGATAGTTTTCAAGCAGGATTTTTGGGTGCTATGCTGGATGTTCCCTCTCTCACAGAGGTCACTGCACGGCACCTCAGCTCAGGAGCATCACTGCAGGAGAACAAGGTGGGCCACGAGAGTGGCTGGTCTGTGTCCCAGGTGAGGCTGTTTAGGGACTCCCAGGAATGACAACACATGAGCAAACCAAGGAGAGGACAGACTGCTGGACACAGATCAAAACCTCTGGTCAAGCAGGCTTTTTGGGTGCTATGCTGGATGTTCCCTCTCACAGAGATCACTGCACGGCACCTCAGCTCAGGAGAATCACTGCAGGAGAACAAGGTGGGCCATGAGAGTGGCTGGTCTGTGTCCCAGGTGAGGCTGTTTAGGGACTCCCAGGAATGACAACACATGAGCAAACCAAGGAGAGGACAGACTGCTGAACACAGATCAAAACCTCTGGGCTACGGCTATATGGGACCTCTCTGTGGTGACTGAGGTCTGTCACCTCTGAGTCTCGGCATACATATGTATATCCAGGCTGTTCATTTAACAAATCTTTATTGAGCACCGACTATGTGCCCAGCACTGCACTAGGTAGGTGCCATGGAGGATACAAGAGAAGTAAAAGACACTGTATCCGGCCTTCAAGAGCTTACAAAACTAGAGTTAGAAACAAGATATACACGTGACTCAACGGCATGTGACATACACAAAGTGGGCAATGAGACGCAGTGGTGACGGGACTGCTGACATCAGACGGTCAGAAGGCTCTTAGAGCGGAGCCAGGTGAGGTTAAAATCTGGACAAGTAGGGGATCAACAGTGCTTGGAATGAGTAAGAACGAAGACTGGGGGACTGATTTGGCTGAAGCAAGGAATCTGTGTTAAACTTGGAGTACTAGGGGTACCTGGATGGAGACTGGGACTTGGGTTGCGTCTGAAGGCAATGAGGAGTCACTTTAATGCTGCTCTCGACATGAAGATCCAGTAGGTGCGCTGTGGACTCCGCTGCTGCCTTCCCAACTGCCTTTCCACCTCCATCCCCACCTAGGAAAGTGGACCTTGGATGCTTAGTAGGGTCAGAGGGTCTGAGGCTCTGCCGGGTATTTGCCATGGTGTTTTCAGATGCACCTATCAAGAACAGGAAGTTCTGGATTCTTTCAAAAACTGCCCCCACAAGGACCAATCCAGAGAGAATTTATTTAACGCTGATCACAGCTGTTACTATAAAGCCATGTGTATCTAGACCCTCTTCCAAGATTACAGATGGCTCTAGGCATCCCACCTCCCTTGCCATGGAAACCTCAGATGCACAACCTGGTTTCAGGAAGGCAAGAATTCCACTTGGACCTCACAGGATAGTCCCACGGGCACTCCAGGCCCTAAACGAATGGCCCATGAAGCCTCTGTGGCTCTTCATTTGGCTTGTTTTCTGCATTCTCACGGATGCCTAACTTGGAGTTGGGGCAAGGCAGGTCTGTTTAAAATGCCAGGGGAGGTAGGCAGCACAGTGCAATGGACTTGCCAAGGGGAGCCGGGGTCTTGAGGATGGCTGAACAGTCTTTTATCAACTGGTCTTTTCTAAGACCAGCTGGCACCTGACACCATACTGAGCAAGACGCTGCTGCAGTCCCTAATTCAACAGAGAGTGCAGTGCGGGGCAAAGGCAGCGGTCCAGGAGGAAGCAGCCCTCTTGGACTTGGGGCAGAAGTTCCCACAGGAAACCAGTAGGAGGCAGAAGCCCACAAGGCAGTAGCTCGAGTGTGGCTTCAGGGGGCCAGTGCTGGAGCGTGCCAGTGGATATGGGGTGTCTTCCCTCCCCCACCCCACCTCCCGCCAAGTCAGAGTCCTGGAATTCCAGAGAAATGGAGCCTCTGTGGATGTGGGGCTGTGGGCAGGTCGGAGCTCAGGGTCTCAGCAGGAGGCGTGTTCCCGGCCATTTGAGCCACAGAAAAGGGACCAGGCGCCTGGTGAAGGTGGCAGTGAAGGTGTAGATGAGTTCCTGTGACTCTGCATTGGTGAAAGTCACGGTGCCTCCCTCGTAATCCAGGGCGATGCCCACTCTCCGGGGCCGTAGTGCCGGGAAGAGCTCGGCCTCGGGGCTGGTGTTGGCCCAGATGCCCGAGGAGGAGAGGCGAAGCGCCCACACCCCATCCTCTGGCCGCAGGGAGAGGTCTCCCTTCCTCTTCACAGAGTCTCTGGCCACTCCCACCATGCAGCTTTCCAGAACTTCCTCTTCCTCCTCCTCCTCTTCTTCCTCTTCCTCACCCAGAGATTCCTCGTCCTCATCCGTTTCCCAGTCATCGTATCCATCCCCATAGGCAGCCTCCTCTTCCTCTTCCTCCTCCTCCCCCTCCTCCTCTTCGTCTCCCTCCTCCTCATCCTCAGACCAGCCCTCCCTCTCCACCTCCACCTCCCAGTAAACCTTGCCCCAGGTGAAGCCCTTACTGCCCAGCACCCCCGGCTCGCAGTCGAACTGCTGGGGATGCAGGTAGGCACTCTTGTACAGGTTGCTGTAGGTCACACACTTCCAGTCCTCTGACAGCTGCAGGTACCCGCTGGCTGACTGTGGGTCCAGGGTGACACTCACTGTGGGGACAAGGTAAGAGGTCAGTGTCACTGGTGCCAGGGAGTGGTGTCAATGGCACTGCTGCCACACTGCACCTGTCAGAGGGTGCCGCCCACACCTCGGGCTATGTGAACAGTGCCCTTCGGGGTCTGCAGGGCATGACCTGACAGCAAGGTTGGCAGGCAGCCCAGGAGCGAGCCTGAGGCCCAGATGGCCTCTGGCCTTAGGGTGCCAGCACTGTTCGCTCCGAATATGGGAGCAGGTGGTCAGACAGAGAAGAGGAAGCTCAGTCATGGAGAAAGGACACTGGTAGGCCCTGTGAGGGTAGACACAGGCAGAGACGGGTCCCACTGCCAAGCAAAGGCCTCTGCTGCAGACTAAACAGCAGTAGACTGGTCAAAAAACGCCAGGAGAGGGGGCTTCTGGTTTGCAACTGGGGAATTCTCTTGTGAAAGAGAAGAGGCTCTGGAGGGCAGCTCACACCTCTGTGGGGAGTCTCCTTTACTGGAGGTCAGGCTGGGAACAACCCTTCAGACACTCACCTGTCTTGTATTCCAGGTCTCTCAGCAGCTTCCCTGGGGATATGAAACGACAGCAATGACCCTCGAGCCCAGCAAACTTACAGGCCCATCTTTTACCCTCAGAAGAACGAGGCTGGAGAGTATGTGGGTGAGGATCTGGTGCCCTCTCCCGAGTGACTCCCACCCCAGTGCTCTCCCTAGCCTCACCTTGGAACTCCCTCAGGCCTCGCTGCAGAGACACGAGTTTATCTGAGAATTCTCCAGTCTTTTTTTTAACCACCCGAGCAATGGGTTTCCCTATCCAGAACTTCTTGCGTGGATACCTGAGGAGAGGAAAGACACAGCAACCAGTTACCAAACTCTTCTGCTCTTCCTTGGACTTCTCTCAACCCTCGTGACAGTTATGAAGTTGGCAGGAGAGAATGATTACAGCCAATCGAGACAGAAACAGCGGCTCAAAGATACCACTGAGCTGGGACCAGCAGTGCTTCTGTCCACTAAGCCACGTTCCACCTTCCCCATTCTGGCCCCCTCGAACAAGGGCAGTGGCTGGGAGCTGGGATAACACTGAAAACTGCTCCTGCTCCAGTTCTCCAGGACGTGCTCCTGCCCAGAAGGTCATCGGGACGAACCATGGGAAGCTGGGACCAGTGACACCAAACGCTCCCACCATGGCCTGGGAGGAGGGCACAGGGTAATGAGATGGACCATGGAAAGGAATGTCCTTTACCTGTTTAAGAAGTCTCTGGTGTCCTGGAAGGGAAGAGAGTGCAAGCATCAATGTGAGTCAAGACTTCGCTCCCACGTACCCAACACTGTAGCAGAGGTGGGGCTCACATCAGTGAATGCAACCAATGTGGCCCCTTCCTTGTGAGGCTGACAGTCTAGTGGGGGCACTGGATGAAACAAGAACAAAATAACCACAATGATGGAAGCAATTGGGGGGTGGGGAAGGCAGGGTCAACCTCTCTGAGTAAACACTGCCCTGAGGTTTGAAGAATGTATTGCTCAAGCCAGATCCATATGGAAGGTCAAGGGTTTGATTCCCCGGTTGACCTGTACACAGCAGGCACACAAGCCCCACGATCCCAGTGGGCTGGGAAGGTAGGAGGAGGGAGAAATCACGAGGTGGCACCCTATTGAGGGTGCTTGTCTCTCTCCTTCTCTTTTGTGAAAGAAATAATCAAAACCAGAAAGTTGCTTGCTTCTTTTTTCTCCCCTGGCTAAATTCTGGACATGGTGGTGGTGAGCCCAACTTGGACCACACAGCTGAGGATAAGGTCCCTACTCTAGAAGTTGGTGGAACAACCAGATGGCTGTAACCCAGTGATGACCTCACAGAGAGCCCCGATATAGCTCTACACACGCC